AAAAAAAAAAAAGCTACTGATCAGGAGTGGAAATTTTGATAGAAAGTAAAAATTATGGTAGAAGTGAAACTGTAAAGTAAACACATTTATGGCTTAGTTCTTTGAACACACAATCCTTCATCCCCCATCTTTGATCCCAATACAAATGGTAGAAGGATTATGATTATGAACTTGAACTTTTCAAAGTATCTTAAAAGATTAGACGTCAATGGGACCTTGGAACCCCCTAGTCCAATGCTTGCTGCATTGGTTCTGTCTTACCACAACTTTCTCAGGTATGTCCTATACCCTCAAAGGGAACAGAGCACGGGCTTCTCGGAGGGATGTCTGCTCAACAGGACGAGGGCCAGATGGGTTGGTCTCAGCCAAGATCTGATCTGGGCTTGGGGTCCAGGAAGGTGCCCAGTGTAGTAATAAGTCTGGGAAACTGAACTGGCTTGACTGGGTACTCAGAGCAGGATGGGGTTCAAAGGACTACCCCACTGCAGGGGCCCAAGGGAGAAGGCGAGAACAGGTTAAAGACCCCAGCAGTAGGTGACAACCAAGAGTACTGGACGTACTAATGTGTCTTCTCAGCAGATGAGGAGGGTAGGACCCAAGGAATCTGGGATGGACTCGGGTTCATACGTAGTAACCAAATCCTAGAGAGGACACTCGGCAGGTTGTAATAACAGGAACTCAGGGTCAAGGGTCAAAGCACGAGGTGAGTTATAACAACCGAGGAGAATACGTAGAGGCCCTGGTATGTAGCAGTGAGGCAAGAAGTACCTTGTAATGAACTCAGAATAGGCATCCGTTCTGCCTGAACACCCTGTGCTCAGTCAGAAGTGGCTCTAGGAGCCTGGGAGGCTTTGAGCATCCGGAAAAAGAGGAGTAGGTAGGCAAAATCTGGGAACCAGTCTCAGTTGGAGAGGAAAGACAGATCTAGGATTGGTGATGAGGACCAGCAGGCAGGAGAGAGGAGGCAGCTTTAGCAAGGCAAGTCATTGCCTAAGAATCATTTACAGAGCAGTTAGATCTGATCTCTTTGTCAAGAGGTTCTTAACAAAGAACTTCTGGGCAGTCTGAATCTATTTGGTCAGCCTGAGTCTTGGATAGAAACTTCTGGGTTTTAGGAGCCCTAAAATAGGGGTTGACCTCAGCCAATGGAGGGAAGGATGAACTACCTCATCTAGTAGGAATCTGTGATATCTCTGTCTGAAGAGTCAGCCCTATCCTCCAACCCAGGTTCAAGGTCCTTCTGGGGAGCGTATATCTGTTAGGAGCCCCGCCAGGCCAGCTCCAGGGCCAGGCTCCTTAGGGAGCAGCCCATCCCTTTTGGTGTCGGCACCTCCATCCTCCAGGGCTCCAGGCACTGGGGAGCCCAACAGAATCCATTATGCAGTTCTGTACACGATCAGCGCTCTGTGGTCATTGTCAACTGACCCGAGTCTCACGCAGTGCCACCATGCCCTGCCCTACTCTCCAGTCGAGCTGAACTGGAGAGAAAATGTGCAAAGCAGAAGACACGAAACATATAAGGAATTCTTGCTGTTTCTGCTCTGCGCATCACTGTCCATCATCGTCCATGCCGATGAAAAATATCTTGAAATTCACACGGTGTCCTCCTTCTGCCCACATCTGCTTATCACCACTGCTACTCGACATATAGAGTTCACACACAACCAGAATGGGGCGATGCTGCAGGGAGGCAGGTGGGCAGAAGAGGGTGGTTCTGCCACTGGGACCAGCACCCACGGTTCATGTCCATCAGGGAGACGCAGCCCCTCAGACTGTTTGCATGCAAATATTTTTGCTCTTCCAAAGCTGCCAAGGAAGTGACAAGGAAGATAATAACGATGGGTGTGGCAAGAGGTTGGGAAAGACGGGGAGAGTGGGGAGAGAGAACAGGAGACCAGATCTAACAGATTTTTCTTCTCTAAATGTCTATGATTAGAGCCCCCAGTGAGGTCTTCAAGGCTTTGAATACTGAGACTCTGAAAAGGCTATTTTTAACAGATGATATCAATTTTGAATTGCAGTTCTAAGGGCAGTGGAATTCTAAGCGGCTCTGCCGGCTCCAGGATATTTTTCTTACCAAGAGAATTGCAGAGAGGGCAGGCAAAATTAGTATTAAATGTTTAATGTTACTGCTTTCAGATTGGTTTTGGGTTCAGTCTAGGATAAAGCCATTTTTACTTGCATGAACCTGCTTTATAGTATGTCAAGGTGATTTATATAATCAGCATGTGCAATATGTTCATGCCCTTTTTCTTGAGCATGTGGCCTAATTTTATCATATAAAATGATCATAGAAATGAATTGTTTGGGGCCTGGCTTTATACCAGGGATAGCTTGACTTCAGATTTGCTGGTGGGTCCTGTGGAGATGTGGACCTTACAACCTGTCAGTGCAACGCGAACATTTTCACTCTAGTTCTCCCTCCATCTTCCTCACCAGAAGGAAGGCGCCTTGGAGGGTGGTGGGGCCAATGGGCAGTGGCGGGGGCCCATGACAGGTGTCAAGAAGAGAGAGCAGAGCAGGAGGCCCAGAAAGCCAAGGGAGATTGACAGCCAATCCATCTGGAGCGGGTCCAGAGCAGCCGTGGCAGGTATGGCCCGTGTGGCGGGCACAGCTGGGTGGAATGGCGAGTTAGAGGCAGGGTGTGGAAGACCCTAGAAGTCAAGCTGAGGAGCTCCTATTTAATTCTAAAGGAGCCAGGAAAGTATGGCTTTGGATCTGTGTTTTGAAGATCGTATTTAACAGTACTGATCTGGAAGGACCAGAACAGGAAAGATGAAAAGCCAGGAATAAAAGAGAGTAAGAAACGGCACCAGGAGAAAGGTAGAATGGATAGAAAAGGCTCTGTGGGGAACGGAAGCAACGGGACTGAGGAACGACTGCCTAAATCTCCCAGCTCTACCACAACCTCCGCCCGTCAGCAGTGCCACCAGGGACATCATGGGGTTCTCTCTGCATAATTTGCAAGGCCGCAGACACAGTATGTCCCACAGTATGTCCCACCTTTTTCATTATGAAAATAGAGAACATGTAGGAAACACAAAAAAGGTGGATAGAAAAAAAAAAAACCCAACAACCCAGCCATGCTGCTCATAAAATGCGTACTCTTAACATTGATGGCACATTTGGTTTTACTCTATTTTCTAGGCGTTCAGATTTGTTGTTTATTTTTTACCTTGATTGTAAACACTGTGCACAAAAATATGCAATCCATTTTTCATTTACTTAAGGCATTTTCCTTACTATATGGAAAGCAGGTTCATAAATGCCATTTTTATTGACTAGATAATATTTCGATAAGTGGTAAATGCCATCATTTACTAAACTATTCTCCTCTTACTGGACATTTAAGATATTTCCACAGTTTCATTATCATAAAAAAATACACCATAATGAACATCTCTGTGTAAAGCTAAATTATAGTTACAATTGATTCCTTGGGATAGATGAATAGAATGAAATTACTACATCAAACGACATAAGTGTTTCTGAAGCTCTAGATATATATTTCAAAATTACTTCCTAGAAAGATTCAACCAATTTGCACTTATTCTAGAAAAGAACGAAAATGCCTCTCATATTGCCATTTCTTGGTTCATACTGAAAATAATATTTACTTTTTAAAAAATCAATTTGATAAGTAAAGATGGTATCTTAGTATTTCAATCCACATCTTTCATTATAAATTTGTTGAATATTATCCCACATTTATAACCAGTACTATCTCCTCTTCTGTAAGCTGGTTATTTGGGGCCCTGGCCTCAAATCTTTTAGTGTCTTAACTTCCCCACTCCACCTCCACTACTTATTATATGCCACTAAAATATGACTGATTCCTTTGTCTGATTTTTAAAAAACACTTCTTTTCATTGTTTGTCTTTTAAATTTTGATGTTTTCTTATTTTGATGTCAAATATTTAAATTTTTAAATAGTTAAATCTATTGATTAGTCATTTTCTTTAAGATTTCTTTTAACAAGTCTTTCCCTCACGGGAGATTGCTAGATATTTCACTTAAGTGTATTTTTAGTGGACGAATTACCCCTAACCTTGCCTTCTCGCTAGAATGCAAACAGTTCCTCTTTGCTTTTTAAGATAGTAAGTTGCATGAGGCAGGATAGATTTAATGGGAATCATGGCACATTCTGGGCTAGACTAACTTTTCAAGGCCTCAGACTGTGTCTGAGGCTTCTGGATAGAGACACAGGGGTAAATGGATGCTAAAAAAGTTCTCCCAGGAAGCCAACATCCCCTTCTTCCCAAATCCTGCCAGCAGCATCAGATTTTACCCGCCTTTGGAAGAACGCGTGCGATCCACCCCTCGGTGCCACTGCCCATTTTCTCAGTCTGTTCAATAATTCAGTCTACTATCATTTTCATAATAGGACCCCATGTTTTACCCTAAAAGTATAGTATAGTTTCTGAAAATCTCTCTCTCTCTTTCCTATCCTGCTTACCCATATCGATGACGACCCACATCACGGATGAGCCTCTCAGAGAGGTAGGCTCCAATCCGATCGAGCTTCTCTGGAGCTGAGAGAGCGTAGAAGGTCAGCTTCTCCATGTTGGTCTTCACCAGGCCATCCTGTAAGAGACAGACCATTCCTGCCCACTCTAGTCATACTATGGCTAGAAGAGTTCAGGCCTAAAGGTAAATATTAATTCGATTTAATCGACCATTAACAGAATGCCATTATGTATGTGACTGACAATAGGCAGTTTTCAGGGATACAGAGATGGTTAAAATACAGTTCTCGCCCTCCAGGAACTCACTACTTAGCCCAGAGTGTGTTAGCTACACATAAGTTATATGAATGTATACATATATGTGTGTGCATGTGTGTATATGTGAGTGTGCACATGGGTGTTTGGGTATGTATATACACGCTAAGTGTGTGTGTGTGTATGAATGACATGGCTTTATTGAAAGGGACTCAGAATTAAGACGTGCTGGACATCTGACACCGACGTAAGCAGGAAGAAGACGGCAGCTCTGCGGCTCTCAGGGAACTGCGGAGGGTGCCGGCAATGTGACCCCCCACTGCCCATCGAGAAGGGGCCATTGATTCTCAGAGGGCATGTCAAGTAAATCAGATCCTGCCATTCCTGAAGCCACACAACCTGTCATGCAGCCTGACGGTGGAGAAGTGGCCCGGAAGCCAAGAAACCAGGCCTCGCATGTACGCACGTCCAGACACCTGGCGGATGCCAGAGGGGGCCCGGGAGAAGACAGGGACTCCTGAGCCAAAGCCCCAGAGGGAAGTGCTCACACTAAGCAGCAGGAAATAGTCCCATCAAGAGAGCGAGCCGCTCAAGGAACTATCACCCAGAGAGACATGAGCGGGAAAGAATCTCAGTCGTAGAGCAATGGCCATAGCATGGCATGATGAACTTCCAGAGCCCTCTGCAGATCCTGACCTCAGAGAGATCCAAATACCCTCAGCCTTCAGGCCCCCAACAGCAGCCCCCAACGCCTTGGGTGGGCTGGAATGGATAGAGGCACGATGCTAGCTGGAGATGTGACCCACCTCGGGATCTTCAGGGAAGATGTTGTCAACCAGCCGTTTGTACCTGGGGCGCAGGGCACCGCAGCAGCCACACACACCTGGAATGGCAAGGAGAGAAACCCATGAGCGCAGCCCTCCAGTCAGGGTGAGGAGACCTGGGAACCAGGCCCGGACGGACTGTAAGCAACCAGACCCAGGCTGGAAACAGAAAGGTCCCTGCGCCAGAGTGCAGGGACCAGGATGCGGCCTCATCCCTCCCTGGGGCTGGAATCTCCCACCACTTCCCCACGTTCCAAAACATCTGCCTTCCTTGCTTCGTGTCTTTTGCTTGGGGATCAGGCACAGTGGCATATGCAAGGGTGATGCCAGCAGACCAGCACTTGTTAATGATGCCAGGCCATGGAGGAACATTTTGAGGGGTGAGGCTTTGGGGTGGAAGCTTACATATAGGTCAGGTGCCACCCTCATATAGTCCACTGTTGTGGAGAGAGAGAGAGAGAGAGACAGAGAGACAGAGAGAGAGAGACAGAGAGAGAGAGAGACAGAGAGACAGAGACAGAGACAGACAGACAGACAGACAGATAGGACTATAAAATGCCTCCTGCAGCTCAAAAATCTTCCCGGTGTCCTGGAAGATGGACGGAGCTGGGAGAAGCGGTTGCTCATCCTACGCTGCCCCCTCACTTTCCCCCCAAGAGAGAGAGAGAGAGAGAGAGAGGCAGATAGACAGACATATCTTCCCGGTGTCCTGGAAGATGGATGGAGCTGGGAGAAGCGGTTGCTCTTCCTACGCTGGCCCCCCGACTTTCCCCCCACTTCTTTTATTCTCTGCTCCTCAACTTCCTCTCCCATCCTCTCTCCTGGGGCTGTTTCTGTTATAGAATGTTATGGGAAACTATGATAAATTAACATCATCATTAATTATTAACATTTGAAAATGCATCTTTAAAGCAGCCTGACTGTGATGTTTGAAAACCGTGGTGTTTGAGAGCTGGGCAGGACCCCAGGGGCCAGCCAGTCTGTGGTTCTCAATGCCAGTCCCCCATCCCCGCCTACTTAATTAAGGTTTTCACCAGTCTGTGGCCAACTGAAAAACTATGAACCATGTGGCACGTTTTCAGACAGCTGAATCCATTCCATTTAAGAGACTCTGAGATGACCTGCTTTTCTGTCTTTGGTGCTATGAAAAATGATGTTCAGAAATCACTGATAATAAAACAAACCTTGGGAAAATTAAAAGTTGACAATTTTAGGTTATACCATAAAAAGTGTTCAATTGATGAAGGAAACTGAGCCTGTCTGGGAAACGCTGCTCCTCTGTAACCTTCCTCCTGAGCAGGGACCCCGGGGCACATTCCAGCGCACTCCCCCGCCCGCCCCCGTGTGGTGGGGGAAGTGGGTGCTCTCTGTGGAAAAGGGGAGAGGGCAGGGAAGGGCCTGGGAAAGTCCACCCCCCAGATAATTGCCTACCAACGATCACTGAATTCTGCTAATACAAACCCTGTACTTGAAATGCAAATGAACCCTGGAAATATCAAGCTGAAGGGCCACTCGGAAAAGCATGCCAGACATCAGTGGGAATTACTCGAATCACACGAAGAGCTTTACCCAGGGTGGAGGAAAGTGCTCTAGGAGCTGTGACTGGGAGGGGGTGAGGGGCGGGCAGTGCCAGGAGGAGGAAGGAGCAGAGACTTGGGCGCTAGGGGTGACTCCGGTATGAGGGACTGGTTGTGTCCTTGGGGAAGCCGCAGGACACCCCAAGAGGGCAGGATAGCAGACGGCTGATTTGTGACACCCCTCCCCCCACCACGGGGCTAGCTGTGTGCCCTCCAGTCTCCTCTGGGCCAGGCACGGTGAGGTCGGTGGAACTAGTCCATGGCTGCAAATCCAGCCCCTCCAAGTTCAGCCTCATTGGGCTGAACTGGCATCTCCTCGTCTCTGCCCTGCCCCCGCCTGCGAGAGGGCGTTTGGGCTCCAACTGGCTGGCACTGGGTTATTTCTCGTGATGGGACAGCTTCGTGGGGCCTGTTCTTCCTCTTGGTCCTCAGAGCCCAGGATTCACCCCTACAGAGGCCGCCCCACCCTCTGCTTGGCTCCCAGGTGGGCCCCAGGATTGCTCGAGCTCCCAGGCAGGCCTCTCCCCTCCCAGACAGGGAGGATGGCCCTTTGCATTTTAAGGGAGCGAGAGAATAGTGACATGGAGAAGTTAGGTCTGAAAAAACCCGTGGCAGTCCTTTCCTTACACCTTTCTGAAGGGCGTGAGCGCCGGGGCCTGCGCTGGACAGAGCTGCCAGGCTCACGGCTCTTGGAAACCCAGACTGGTTGAGAAAACACAGGCCCATTCTGAATATTCAGGGCAGAAACATCTGTGCCAGGGCAAGAGGAGGCTGTGGGGTTCTCTGTGGGGGTGCCACGCACGGCTTCCCCGGAGGTGGCAGACCTAGTCAGGCCCGGGGCTGGGGACAACTGTGAAGCCATATTGCTGACCATATCCTGTTTGGAGGAAAGAAACATCGAAAGGACCACTGAGGAAATAAACCTAAAGCTGGTAGCTAGCTATCTGCTTCCCATGAGACGAAAGTGATTTTTTTCGGATCTCGGCCAGAGAGCAGAGAGCCCCGAACAGCACTCCGCACCTGCTGGGCAGGTGATCAGCCTGACACAGGAGATAAAGCCTCCTCTCTGATAAGGCAAGGAGCTGGCCTCTAGGGGCCACCGAGCTCAGGAGGTAACAAGAACCCACAGGCAGCCCTAGAAAGCTTCCAACCAGAAGGTGAATTCAAAGTAGCCACAACTAGGCCACGGAGGGAAAAAAACAACAACAAAAAAAAAACAAAAAAGAATAGAAGACACTGGGAAGAAATCGGAAACAGTTCATTCTTACCAAAGATTAAGTGATACGTTTTTACATATTCCTTTAATCTTGCTTCTGATGGTATTCATTCTTAATATTAGTATGTAGGAGAAAGTGGGGCTTTGACCCACAGCCATGTGCCTGTAAAAGAGCCTTTTAAATTGTGAGTCCTTATTTCTCAGATAGAGCACTCTCCACCCTCTCTTACTCTCTGGGGATCACGTCTGGCAGATCCAAACATGGGACACGAAAAGTAATTTATTAAGGATCCTCTTCCATCAGTAATATTTTTATACCTATTTTAAGTTAGACAGAGAAACACAATATGGCCAAGTTATTAGGATGCATTTGCTCTGGTTACTGAAAAATCACGTCAGTGGGGATTAACAGAGTTTCCAATGACAAGATTTCAGGGGCTTCCTCCAACTTTAAAACTCTCAGAATGGTCAGACCTGCTCCAGCGGCCCTGCCCCTCCCGCCATCTCCCTGTGGTTCACCCTGCCCCCACCACTCGGGCCTCCTTGTACAGTCCTGGACTGTACAAGGAATGTTCTTCTGGAATGTTCTTCCCTACAGCCTCCAGGCCCCCACACTCATTACCCTACGGTGCCTGCCAAAATGTCATCTCACTGTGGATCATGTCCCTGGCCACCATTCGCCACTAATTTTCTATCCTTAGTCTATTCCTCTTCACAACTCTTTTTACCAAAGGACACACTTCATGCGTGTCTACACTCTGCCTCTGCCACTAGAAGGTAAGCTCCTCAGGACCTCCAGGTGCTTGCCCGACAGCTCTCCTAGGGGGACCTCAGGGGAATGAATGGCCCTGTTGGAGAACCATTGGCTCTGGTTCCTGAATCCTGCCCAGCCTGTTTTCTGGAGTGGCCATCACCTAGGGCTGGCAAGGCTGGACCCACTGGGGGCCAATTTCTATTCAAGACGGGGGGCTTTGGGCAGCAGGTTGCCTTGGGTCAGGGTTCTCCTGCCCTGCCCCTGCCGCACGCTGGCCCCCGGCCTACTATGCGCCCATTCCACCAAGCCCTGCTCACTGGCTCCCGATTCGGCCTGTGTTTGCAGCCCTGACATCTCATCGCGGTCACCCTTGTGTCTCTGTGGAGGGGCCAGAGGTATTCCACTGTGAATCTGGTGCACAGCCAGGGTGAGAAGCACTGGCCCAGCTCTCTGCCTGCCCAGCATGTGACAGCAGATCTCCCAGCTGCTGCAGCCTCCGTGGACTCTGGAGCGCTTGCTTGGTCTGCCAGCGGCATCTGTGTCCCCACAACTCTAATATGCAGTCCAGCCCTGTTTCTCTTTCGCTCTGTCTGCTTGCTCCTGTTTCCTCGACCGATCTGCGCTCAGCACTAGGCCAAGCACTTTAGAAATATTTCATATGATTCTCGTAACAACCACTAAGGTATGTTCTCATTTTACAGATCAAGCAGCAGGATCAGAGAGGTTAAGTGCCCTCCCCAAGGTCACACAGGATGTGCTCTCTGCCGTGAAGCTCCCCTAATTCTCCCATCGCTTTCCCTAAAATACATCCCCAACGATCGCTCAGGTTCGTCCTGTGCTCTCCTTTGCCTGGGCCACTGCTGATTGGACATTTCCTTAACACTTGAGATCCAGCCCTTGTACATGCCACGTGGCCAGTCTCCTTGCTTCAATTCATTCTACGTGTAGTTTTAAGGCAAATCTTCGCTTGGTTCAGTTTGCTTCACAGTCAAGCAGTTAGCACGGCTCATCACTACATTAAACGTCAGCCCTTCAACTCAGTATTCAACAAGGGAAGCCCTGTAAAGGCGGGGGGTGGGTGGAGGGGTTGGTCCATCTTCACGCCCTTCCTCCCCGGTAGGGGCCTCTCACTCATGCTCTGTCTCCTGGAACAGCCCTTGTCCAGCAGTCAGAGGCCACATCAGTGTCCGGTGTGAGAAGGGCTGGGAGGTCGGAGGAGGAGCAGACTAGGGGAGCCATCCAGCCACAGAGAGCCCCACGCTGCGGATGAGAGGATATTCGGGTGACAGGGACCGGGCAGAAAGCAGAGATGGTGAAGGGGCAGGAGAGTCGGAGCCACGGACCTGGGAGGCCTGGCGGACCCTGGCACCTGCCGAGCCCTGCCTGGAAGCCCTTCGTTAATAATACGCCCCCCTCTAGGCATCGCTTTCCCCTCTGCCAGCTGACTTCCATGTGTCCTTTACACCATATGATCTGGTACAGTCTTCCCCCACTGCGTGCTCAGGCTGAGTTA